TCGGGCAATCGAACCGAGTCCCAACCGGCGGACAGTTGAGTAGGATCATGCGTTCACATTCAGCACACACCGAACATCCACAGGCTGCGAGCGAGGCAACGAAAACGGACGAAAAACAAGCCATCAGTGTGGAGCCCGGAACCCGGTCGACGACACTACACGCACGCCAAAACCGGTGGATCGATGCCAACCGGAAACACGAGACCAGCTTGGAGAGAAATGTAACTTCACGCCACAAACGCATGGTCACACACGCACTAGTACCCAGCCAGACGTACACAAGCAGATCACGTTTCAGGTCTACCGAGTCTCATTGGTTAATTGCTGTCCCGCGTCGTCGCATGTGACTCCACTACTTCAACCCTTCAGATGAATATTGACTTTGTCGTAGTTAACGTCCGGTCGTTCGGTCAAGGTCGCGAACCGACTAGAGTACATACGGTTGGTTAACATTGCGGCAGACGCATTAGAGATGAAGGTTTACTGACATCGGTTCCCAGTGACCAACCTTCTATAGGGAACTGATCCTGGTACCAAAGTGGGGCAGTTCAGATATCCGGCGGATGTAATCTGCAAAACTTACTTTCGATTTGGGATTCCTGTGGGATTTGCACTAACACTCCTAGCCAAATGATCGTTAGTTTGTTCGCTGATTGCAAACGTTTCACCACCGATCGAAATTACATCATCGGTGCACTGTTAAGCTTCGTAGTGTAGTGAACTGATGGGTCGGTGACTGTGTGCGGTTGGTATAGCCAGCTCAGCGAGCGAACCAACGACCATCTACGCTACCTGAGCTACCGACACTCTCCTTAATAGTATTCCTATCCCTAGTTTACTTAGAATCTCGCGCGTTGACACGTTCACGGCCCATACAAGCGAGTAAGCCAATAAGTCTGACTGGAACAAAACTTCGCGCAAAGGCAAACCTGTGTTTTTACCGGAAGCTGGAGAGCGAAATCCACGCAAATGCTCAGTCATGGGACTAAACGAACCAACCATGTCGAAAACCAATCACATATCACTGGCGAATGTGAACCGATCTTGTGAGCGTATTGAGGTGGTTGGGATTTAAGGCAAGGGTTCCAGTTAATAAACAATGACCGGACTCATTGAGGTCCAACTGCTAGAAGTGAAAGTCTATCCAAAAGAAAACTGAAAGCATGGTTGAAGTCATTTCGTGTAGCAAAGCATTAGTGCAAGAAATCTTTGTGAACTATTCAGTTGAATGTAAAAACCCTTGAATGAGTTTGGCGGTGACAAACAAAACGTCGGGTTACAGTCTGCCGGTTGGGGCTCGGTTCGATTGCCCGA